AACTTTATGTGGTTACCTACTAAAATGTTAATTATTTAAAAATTCAAAAATGATTGATAAATATTGATATATCTATAAAGAATATATACACACTAGTTTTCATCGAAATAATTTTATAATATGCTCGTGAGATCACTTAGAAAATTTTGCATTTTAGACCTCATAAATTCGCAAAGTTTGAGGGTTTCTTAGAAGCATAAAAAAATATTTTTTTCATATTTTTCTTTTCCAGTTTTGAAGTACAATGTCTGAACTATATAAAAATCTTTTTTATTATTTTTTAAAAAAAAACTACTATGTTAAAATAAGGTATATAGGAGGTGGTGCATATATGCACCGTTAACCAGTAACGGGTTAAAATATAAAATACAAATTAAATCTCTCGTATTGTAACATTAATAGAAATTTTTTTAGAAATGTTGAAAAAGATATGTAGCCCAAATTCTTTTTGATTTTCTTATTTTTTGAAGTAGATTAAATTTACTATTAATTTATCTATTGTTGACGAAGTTAGTTTTTTGGAAAAAAAATGAATAACGTTCCTTTTATTTTTGACGAACTTTAAACATGAACGCGTTCCTTTTTTGACTAACCTTGAACGTGAACGCGTTCCTTTTTTGACTAACCTTGAACGTGAACGCGTTTGTGTTTTACTTTCGTTCAATTTTAAAATTTTTATTCTGCAAATATTAAAAATTAATTTGACATTTATCGAATTTTTTAAGTAAAAATAGTTATTTTTTGATCAGCAGTTTCCTTTATCACATTTACAATTGATAATTCGTCTTTGTTCTATAGTATAATTTAATAATATTTGTATTACAGGGTTTCCCATTCAAAGGTCCGATCAATAAAGGAAAAGGTCAATCATAAAAGGAAAAGGTTCAATCAAAAAAGGAAAAAGTTCAAACAAAAAAGGAAAAGTGTCAATCTAAAAGGGAAAATTCCCAAAAAGAAAGGAATAAAGTCCGATCAAAAAAGGAAAAGTGTGAAACAAAAAAGGAAAAGTGTCAAACAAAAAGGAAATGGTCCAATCAGAAAAGGAAAAGTGGCAATCAAAAAGGAAAATTTCCATTCAAAATAAGAAAATCGTAATTTTTAAAAAATATTATAAATTTTTCAATTTCAATTTTTATTATTTCTAACTTTTTGCGATTATTTGTATCATTACTCAATTTATTTTTCTCACTATATCTTTTCTCAATTTTTTTTCATCACATTTTTGATAATTCTTTTGTATTTTTAAAAATAATTTACAAATTTCATTTTTTTAACAATTCTTTACGTTTTTTTTTCATCATACATACAATATTCTTTTTATGATTTTTTCATTGTAATCTTTTACATACATTTCTAACCTTTTCAATCTCTTTAAGTCATTTTTAATCTTTATTTTTTTGACCTTTTCTCAATTTTTTTCTTCTCATTTTTGATAATTTTAAAAATAAAAATTTAAGAATGATTATTGTATTTAATTTCAATTGCTAAATTAAATTAATCGTTTGGTTATAATGTATCTTTTTAAAATTAAATAAGTTTAAACTGTAAAACCAAACGATATGTAAAATAAAAAATGACTTAAAGAGATTGAAAAGGTTAGAAATGTATGTAAAAGATTACAATGAAAAAATCATAAAAAGAATATTGTATCTATGATGAAATAAAAACATAAAGAATTAAAAAAATGGACCAAAATTTATAAATTATTTTTAAAAATACAAAAGAATTATCAAAAATGAGAAAAAAAATTGAGATAGGAAAGAAAAATAAAGTAAAGAAAATCGTAAAAAGTTAGAAATAAATTGAGAAAAGATACAGTAAGAAAATTACTGTAAAGAAATCGCAAAAGGTTAAAAATAAAATAAGAAGGAATGACAGAAATAAATAAAAATTTTAGAAAAATTGAAAAATTTATTATATTTTTTAAAAAAATTTAAAAAATTACGATTTTCCTTTTTAGAATGGGAATTTTCCTTTTTTGATTGACAGTTTTCCTTTTGGGAATTTTCCTGTTTTGATTGGACCTTTTCCTTTTTTGTTTGAACTTTTCCTTTTTTGATTGAACCTTTTCATTTTTTGTTTGACACTTTTCCTTTTTTGATTGGACTTTTTCCTTTCTTTTTGGAGTTTTCCATTTTTGATTGATATTTTTCCTTTTTTGTTTGAGCCTTTTCCTTTTTTGATTGAACCTTTTCCTTTTATGATTGACCCTTTTCCTTTTTTGGTCAGACCTTTTCCTTTTTTGATCAGACCTTTTCCTTTTTTGATCAGACCTTTTCCTTTTTTGATCAGACCTTTTCCTTTTATGATTGAAACTTTTCCTTTTTTGATTGGGACTTTTACTTTTTTGAATGGGAAACCCTGTATTTATATTTTATAGACCGATTCTCAAATTTCAGAATTAGAGGAATTAACATTACCTATAATAAATACTTTACTGTAACATCCTAGATTCAAGGCTAATTCTCTCCTTGCCAAATATAATTTATTAGTCTGATTCTGAAATTTTAATCTAATCTATTATTTTTAAGTTTTAATCAGGGATTTTATATTTAAATTGTTGAACACAGATATATAAAAGGTTTTATTTATTCAAAATTAATAGGAAATTTTTCTTAAAATTATTATTTTTTATTCACTATATTATATTGTATTTATCAGGGATGAGAACTCAAGTCAAACCCTCGATATTTTGTTAAACACTAACCCTTTTTTAAAAAAAAATTTGTATTTTAATTTTTAAACTTTCATTTTATTTATTTTAAATTATATGTTAAAAATATTAAAAAAACATGTAATTTACGATTTTCATTTATAAAAGAGTTCCTAATTAAAACAATTGTTTTTTTATTCAAAAAAAATATTAATTTAAAAAAAACATTTTTTGATCATTTTTTCTTGGAATCATTTTTGTTTTATTTAAGAGTCGGCCATTTTTCGTAAAGATTTTTAAATTTTACCCAGCAAAGCAGATTTTTTATAAATGATGATAATATTTAATAATATCTATTTGAGGATATATAGTAAGATAAAGAGAAGTACAAAATCACGAATATATTATAATCATGATAAATTGTTTTTATGACAATACTAATTAAAATAAATTTAAAAAAAAAATTCTGTTATGTCATTATTTTTCTGGTCTCCAAAACCTGAACCCGAATCCGAATCGGTCGGAGATTTTTCACTGAAATCAAATCCGAACCCATTTTTTAGAAGGAGCGTTCACACCTTGGTATTTATTTAGAAATGTTTACAGCGCTATTTTTTTAAAATAATTATAATCATTTAAAAATTATCTTAATTGGGTTATTATCCCCCCTCCCTGCCACCCTAAATGAAATGAATAAGAATTCGAAGTATTTTATTAATTTTCATTTTCTCTTTTAAAAAATTTTTAAATTTATTCTTTTATTCATATTGTTTTGTTAATTTTACTTTTTTTAAATTTTACAAAATACTTTAAGGATTATCAAATTTACTAGCTGATAGCCCGTCAAAAATGACGGGGAATTAGAATTTTCTCCTTTATTCAATGATAAAATAATAAATTTTACCTTTATTTAACAATGGATGAAGAGGTGTGATTTAGAAATTTATATTTTTTAGATGAAGGGATATTCTAAAATTCATTATTTATATGAAGTATATGGTTAGTAATTTTCATTTATGTGCACAATAAAAAATCTTTAAAAATATTTCTTATTCATTTGTATTTGTAATTTATAATCTGAAAAATATATTCTTGCTAGATGATAGCATAACTTATCTAAGTAACATTTGAAACAGATATTAAAAATGGACAAAAAAATTAAATAAATTCAATGATAATTTATTGAATGTATAGATATAGAATTTTATATTTTGCTCTCTAATCAGAACCTTTATAAAGAATTGGAATGTTTCAAATGGATGAAAATTAAAATGTTCCCAAGTCAGATTTAGAAAAGTCTATATAGATTTTTATAAAAAAATAAAAATGTTTCTTTAAATGACTCAAAGTTGTTGAGCCAATTTTGCAACTTTAATTGTTTATTACAAATAAAATCAGACGTGTTGAATATGCAAAACTTGCTCTTCATCAAAAATGACTCTAATTTCTTTTATATCCCAATCTTTCACCAATGTAGTGAACTGCTATTATAGCATGCTTTTTTTTCTATATCAGCTCATAATGCCAACGTTGAAAAAATCTTCTTTAATCAATAATAAAATGAGAGGACCTCCGTCATCAAAAGCGGCGTAAATCGGTGCAATTATAAATTTTTATAACATAAATTTTTTTAATTGCTTAATAATTTTTTTTTTTAAAAATAAATATACACTATTCTACAGATATCTCGGCATATGTTTTGATCTTTATTTAAGAGAAAACTCACAATAAATCCAAAATCGATTTCGTAATTTTATAATTATCATATATAAAAATGATTTTATTTAAATTTTTGGATCTCCTTGAATTCAACGTCAATCCAGCGGTAGATAAAACTTTTTCACTGGGTATGCTAGTCGCCGGAATACAAAGAATTTTTTTGGCGAGCTGGAAAGATTGGTTCACCTCTCCAAAAATTTAGAACATCCATATCTTGTGAATGTTGTCTTCAAAGAAGAATGTGGTATTCTTGTTCTAAGTCACCTAACGTGGAATCATAATTTATATTTGTTGAATGATTATTTGCCAATTTTGTCAACTTGAATTTAATAATTCCTCTCGATCCTCAATAGCTATATTTACTATCTGAATATTATCATTCTATATAAGTTTAAGATGTTTTATTATAAATTCTGAAGCTCAGCAATCTTGTTCTACTATATATGAAGAGAATAAGGATGGTGACGATATTGCGCGAGGTTCGAGTCAGTAAAAATATATTTTATTAACTAATTTCTTTTTCTTTTCTTAAGGTATATATACATTTTCTATAAATATAAATTAGAATATAAACGAAATACAAAAAAGTAAAATAATATTAAAAAAGTAAGGTTACGCCGTTTATAAAATAAAATTAGATTATAACAAATAATAAAATTTATATTGTAATAAATAATAAAATTTAAAATTAGAATAATGCAACAATATACTATGACACAATTGTCAATTTTTGAAATCTTAGATCTAAAGGAGGAGAAGCCAATACCTAGATAATTTTTGAAATAAAAAGTGAATTAAATAAATGAACATACTTATATATTATTACTTGAAAATCACAAACCGGAAATCGTAGGGCAAGTTTTTTTAGCATATTTTCCTTAAGTGAAATGATTTCAGAATTATCACTGTCATTTACTATTAAATGTGTTTCAATTTCACCTCTAAAAAGTAACGCCAAGTTTAACGTAGGCCCTTGTACTGATAGAAATTCGACAGATTCTTTAATTTTTAAAAGAAATGCTAATAGTTCTTCTATCAGATCAGATTAATAGTTTGATAATTTGAGAAAGTGTTTCCCAATTCTTTTCAAAACATTATTAATTATATTCTTATTTAATCCACATATGGTTTCTAGCATAATTAATATACTATGCCAACGTGTTGGGACGTTCAATTTTAAGGTTTTGCGTGGAAATATTGTTATCATTATCAATGGAAGTGTCAATTTGAAATCGGGTATCTGGATATGGATCAGTGCTATCATGATCTAACATGTCAGATGTTAAATCTATTATACTTAGGCATTTTCTTTGATCTGCTTCGAATTCAAATTCAACTATTGTAGTTTTATATATTAGAACAGTAATAATTCCTATAATTCTTTTGATAAGATTTTCAAATAAGAGTACCTTTTTAATACCATCTACTGTAACCAGATTGTGTAAACCATGACCCAAACATAAGCGGTGTTCATATTCACCTAATCAAACACCCTTTCTAACATTAGACCCAGCATCAGTGACCATTTGTATTTTTTCTTTTTTAAATTAAATTCCTCTTCTATTTTATCAATCTCAATTGGAATAGTCTCACCTGTGTGTTTTGGGGTTATATAATGAGTTGCTAAAGTAAAGTAAATCATTTCAAAATTATCTATTATTAAATGAAGTGTAAATGTACTATAGTTTCTTCTTCTGTATTGATCTGTCCACATATAGAATGTAATTGATCAAAATTTTGGCCTTTGAGTTAATTTCTTATTGTACATGTGCTTTCATTGATAGGTAAACATTATTAATAGCAGTCGGGCTTAGTGTTGTCCTGTCTGGCAAATCAGAATTAGAATTGATAACTTGGTATTTCTAAAATAAGTATTATGAAAAGTATAACATAAAATCATTATCTTTAATTTATATTAGACAACAAATTAGGGAGAATTTATCAAGAAGAAATATATTTGTTAAAAATTTATTCTAGGTTGTAAAGCTACATAGAAACATAGATAATGAATATGAATTATCTAATATTATTTAAATCATTCATGTCTATGTGTAATCTTATTGTTAGCATGGCTATGAAATTTAACTATTGTAAACCTTCCTCAGCAGCAAATGCTATTTCAATAAAACAAAAAAACATAAAGGTAGATCTATTATAGATAATATATCAATTTTTTTTTCATAAATTTGATACCATCAAAAAATCTTTCATTCTTATATTATCAATTGATTGAAAAGATAATAAGTCAGTACAACATAATAACACATAGTTTCTTATTAGGCATTTTTAGAGGTTTTAGAATTTGTCTGAATTTTGATTAATTAGGTTTTAAAAGGTAAAAAGAAATTTTTTTTAATAAATTTAAAATATAAGAACTTTTACCTTGGTATTTGTGATCTTATCAAAAATAAAATAATTGAAATTTAACTTTGAAGCCAACTCTCCTTGATTCAGTCCAGATGTCATAGGCTCTAATGAAAGTTTACACATCAAAAATAAAATGTTGAAGATTTTAATAAATATTGTTTACTTTGGTGTTGAGCAAATATTTATTACTAATATCTAAACATCATCTGATATTGATATGGCATCTGAATTTTGATTAATTAGGTTTTAAAAGGTAAAAAAAATTTTTTTATATAAATTTAAAATATAAGAACTTTTACCTTGGTATATGTGATCTTATCAAAAATAAAATAATTGAAATTTAACTTTGAAGCCAACTCTCCTTGATTCAGCCCAGATGTCATAGACTCTAATGAAAGTTTACACATTAAAAATAAAATAAATGAAGAATATAGTGTTTACTATGGTGTTGAGCAAATATTATCTAGATAAAATTTGTTGAAAAAAGAATATTTTACATGCAATGGCAAATTTGATATGGATATTGTGTTTCGCCATATTATATATCACATGGGAATTACTAATGGCTTAAAATTTCTATGATGATTATCATTGGACAAATATTTTTTAAAAGAACTCTATTGGTTAAACTTGATTGACATTTTTTGAGGATTATATATATAGATATTTGCTTTCATTATTTGAGTATGTTAAAACTTCAATATTCCTCTCTTCTAACTCGCTTAAAATTCAGGTACTTGTTTATTTGTTGTTCTGTCTCATTTGCTCTAATTATTTCTTAATTTATCTTCGTTCTTACTTTTAATTTAATTGATCTATATATAAATTTCGTTTTTTCATCATTATTATTGCTTATGTTTACCAGAATATAAGTCGTCGTAACTGGATCGCGAAGCACTTTTTGCGGATGTTTAGCGAATGGACCTTATAAATTTTTATCGCTAACCCTTTAGAGCGAAATGGGAGCGAAACTTTTATCGCATATCATCGATGGCGAAAATTATATAACATAGTCATTATCGCGATAGCTATTTCGCTAAGTCAATATAGCGATAATTGCTATGACTTTTGTATTTTGAAATATTTAATATTTTGAAAAATCGATTCAATGTTGGATTTTTAAATTTTCTTTTAACCTTAATAAATTTATATAATAATATCTAGAAACTAGAGGTTTGCACCCTGCAAGAATTTTTGAACAAGTTGCCCGTTTAATTTTTTACCTGATCCGCCCCGCTAAAATTTTTAAAAATTAGGCTCGGCCAGACCCTTTAAAATCTTGCTAAAAGTTCGCTACTACCCAAATCTTTAATATCCTCTGGTTTTCTCCCAATGTCAATTAAGGCTCTTATAATCTCTTCACTTTGACTATCTATTTTTAGTTTTACAACCGTTTTATAAATCATTGTGCTTGATATCTGTATTGTGTATTTGTTATTGGATGATATCAATGACTTGCTTATTTTTTTGTTAATACCATATTATTTTATTTATTAATTTAGTATTTCAGTTAGAGGGCCATTCCATGACAAATCAACCACGATTCGGCCGACTCCCTAATTTTATAAAATTTGGTAAGCAAAGAAAGGTTAGTGTAGTTAAGGAATAGCCAAAATTTTAGCCTCTTAACATTTATATTTTTGGAGATATTATCAAAATCGCAAAAATGACGTATTTAATTACCATTATTTGCCTTTATTCAATTAAGCATATCTTATAAACTACATAATTGTAAATAACAAATTTAATATCGAAATTACGTACAAAGATTCTACTTTCAGATAAAAAATTATTATTTTTTTTTTCCAATTTCCAGTCATTTTATTTAATATGCAAGGACTAAAAACGATTTTTTGGAAATAATACGACCTTCAATTTTTTTAAAAAATTTAGTAGACATTACTAAACTCTTCCTTTATATTTATAAAAAAAATTGGTCTGGGACACGGCTATCTTCATTCTCAAAATCGATAAATGTTTAGAAAAGTGTATAAATATTTTCCCGAAATGGGGCGTCTTTGTATAAAATTAAATATTAATAAGTTTTTAATGTTTTTTCTCAACTATTTGATATAATTTATAGGATTATTCATCTTGTAAGTGAAAATAACAATAAATATCGATAAAAGAAATTCAATTTATTACTTTATTTATAATTTATTATAAAAATTTTTGCCCATATAACATATATTTAATGAATATTAATAAAATATATTCAATTAAGTTTATAGTTCTTGAATATATGATCAGAATCTTGTCCATTTCATATATGGCCCCCTAAATATAAAAATAATTGATATAATATAAATTTAAAAATCTAATATATAACTCACTTTTAAAAGATTCTAATTTGTCGGTAGCGCATTTACTTTCTTGTGACAACAATGTATAACTACGGCCAGTAGCAGTTAACGGTGAAACTAATGTTAAGATATGACATTTTGGAAAGTAAAGAGTAAATGAATTAGAAGTTCCGGATGGGTGTAAAAACTTTATATTAGAAGGTCCGGATGTAAAAACTTTATATATATTTCTTCCTGCTTTCGATATTTCCCTAAAACAAAAGCCTACCACCAATTAGAATCATAAACACACGTATGTATTCTGATATTTCTCCAAAAATTATATTTTCAATGATAAAAATTCTATAGTGCTTTCTTTTGAATTGGAATACATTTTACTTTTAAATTGATGTAGACCTGTTGGAATCACGGTGAAATCTTTCCCTGAGTAATAGTTCTTCGGAATCCTAATTTTTTTGGGTCATATATTCAAAATATATGCCATAAATATTTTCTTTAGCGAACTAGTACAATTCATATGATGTGGTTATTTGCTTTGAGTAAGGCCTTTGTAAACTAGCTCTAGAGGCTAATCTTTTAACAGTGCCACCAATCCCATCACAAACACTTTTCCCGTGTGCTGTAGCAGAAAAATGTCATTTAGCCTGTACCCCTAAATCCAGCTCATCATGGTAAATATTATTAAATTTTTTAAGATTTTTATTAGGGATGTACCGATATTTTATATCGGATCGAATCGGGCTGATATTTCGTCCATTTTAAAATATCGGTTATCGGCAAATATTTTAAAATTTTCCGATCCGATCCGGTATAAAATGGCGCTTTTAACAAAATTAAAATAAAGTTATATCTAAAAAACCATTTATTTTTATAAATAAAATCGAAATATATTTTTATGTTTAATTTTTTTAATAGTAATGATTAGTTAATAAACATTCTGCAATATAGTTATTTTTTTTCGCATTCTGTTTAAAAAAGTGTTCATTAATCTCTTCAGAATCTGTTTTTAGTGATGCTAGTGATATTAACAGTCCCCATCACCGCAGACCGATCTCTGAAAAATTGAAAATTTTAGTATTTCTAAAAAGAAATCTTCGATATATTAATTTTAAATATTAATTTCAAATTTCATAATATATTTGTTTATTACTAATTATGTAAATAGATTAATGATATTACTTATATAAATAATAGCAATTGAATTGAATATAAACTATAACTGATCATTATAATATATTTAAATGACATATGTTATGGTATAGTAAAATTATAGATGTTGTACTAATAAAAAGTATATTAAAAATTAAAACCATTGGTATCTTTACAGAATACAAAATTAGATATGATATCTGATCGGTTATCGGCCGATATCAATTTAATATCTAGAATATCGGATCGGCTTCCAAAAAGTGGTATCGGCACACTCCTAATTTTTATACTGTGCAGCGGATCCATCGGCAAAATAAAAAAATTTATTTGAAATACAAATTTTATTAATTTAAAAATTTACCAATGTTTTTTGAAAATAATGTACTGCTATTGTATTGTGTTGCAATGATTCGGATATCATTACTTAATTTAGGCAACAAATATTGGCAAAATTATCTTTATAATATATAACAAAAGTGTGGGTGAACAGTAGATTGAGCCCTATTCCAATGATAACTTTGTTCTTCATCCTGAAATATAAAGCTATAGTTTTCTGAAAAATCACATAAAATTAAATATTGGCCTTCGTATTAGTTCAATTTTAGACTGTTTTAATACAACGGTTGTTGCGTTGAAAAAAAAGAATGGGGTAATAAAGATTCCATTTTTCCATTGATAATTTCATCTAATGGCTTGGTTATTGTTTCAAGAGTAGTTCTATCTACGGATAGCCATTATTTTATGTTATAAATTTGATGTCCTTAGAACGAAACAATATTTCTATTTGATCGCGTAAATGTGTTGACCCTGGTCAATTTTCACATTTGCCCATATAAATTTATTTTATTGATTGTGAAACACTCATTTATTGTTATTCTTATTTACAAGTAAGGGTATGCCGATTTTAGAAAATCCGATCCAATATTTATATTGTTTTGGGTTATTTTATGATGATAATACTTTTATTTTATATATAATAATTTCATAATAATAATAAAATTTTAAAAAATTGAGTAGCGAAAATTTTGATATTATTTTTGGCGTCATATTAAATTCACATGATTTCATATATTCAAGAACTTGGTTGGCCATATTTTATTATATGTTATATGGGCAAAAAAATTTATAATAAATTATAAATAAAGTAATAAATTGAATTTCTTTTATCACAATTTCCATAATTGAATGAAAGCCCCATTTATTGTTATTTTCACTTACAATATGAATAATCCTTTAAATTATATCAAATAGTTCATGAAAAACTATTAAAAACTGATTAATATATAATTATTTACAAAGACACCCCCTTTCGGGTAAATATTTATACACTTTTCTAAACATTTTTATCGATTTTGAAAATGAAGATGGCCTCCCAAACCAATTTTTTTATAAATATAAAGGAAGAGTTCAGTAATGTCTGATAAATTTTTTTTTAAAATTGAAGGTCATATTATTTCCAAAAAACCGTTTTTAGTCCTTGCATATTAAATAAAATGACCGGGACCGGAAATTGAAAAAAATCTGTTTTACGTAATTTTGATATCAAATTTGTTATTTACAATTATGTAGTTTTTAAGATATGCTTAATTGAATGAAGGCAGATAATGGTGATAATACATCATTTTTGCCACTTTGAACCCTAATATCTCCAAAAATATAAATGCTACGAGGCTAAAATTTTGGCTATTTCTTAACTACACTAACCTTTCTTTGATAACCAAATTTTAAAAAAATCGAAGGGGGTCGGCCGAAAATCTCATTTTTTTTGCTCATTTGACATGGAATGACCCTAGACAGCTCTTTAAATACAAAGAAATAAATATATTGCAATTTATTTCAAATAGTAAATCAAAATTTTGGCTTAAAATTCAAAAAATACATCAATATTTAAATGATTCCTATCCTGTTAAAATTTTACCGAAACTCAAATATTTGAGATACACTACCTAATTTATATATGTTTATCATGACCGGCCCAGCCTCATAACAACTTTTCCGACTTAATCCTGGCCTGGTCAGTTTTAAATTTTGGCCCGACCCGCAGGTCCGACTTTGTAGATCTCTACTAGGAACACTTTATTTTTTTGATCTGGGTCA